ATATACTAAAATTATTTAAAACCAAGAAAAAACGTTAACTTCGGTTGCACCGAAGCTATAATACCCTTCACAGATACAAAAGGTCCTTACAATAACTTGATTCATATCTAATTTCGTGAATCGGCTATTAAAAATAAAATTTTTTCCATGCAGGCACTTTACTCTGATCGTGCTGTTTACATGATAGCAGATAGAAAATAACTCATGCCAAATTTCGTCAAGATACCATACAAGCTCTTGATTTCGATCGTTCAGTTTGTATGACAGCTATATGCTATAATCATTCGATCTATACAATTTCTTCGGAGATTTCATTGTTGCTTTAAATAATAATCCATGCAAAATTTCGGTAAGATACCTCGTCAAATGAAAGAGTTTTCATTACAAGGACTTTACTCCGATTGTTCAGTTAATATGGCAGCTATAGGTTATATTCATCCGATCTGTTCAAGGTTTTCGGAGATTACTTTGTTGTCTCAAACAATTACTCATGTCTAATTTCGTGAAGATATTACGTCAAATAATCCGATATCGGCCGTTCCGACAAATGAGCAGCTTCTTAGTGAGAAAAGGACTGGTACAAAATTTAAGATCGATATCTTAAAAACAGACGGACATGGCTAAATCAACTCAGCTCATCATGCTGATCATTTATATATAAATTTTATAAGGTCTCCGACGTTTCCTTTTGGGTGTTACAAACTTCGTGGCAAACTTAATATACCCTGTTCAGGGTATAAAAATTAATTAACCAGCTTTATCACTATGCTTCAAAGCCATTGTCCGAGTAAGTTACCAACTGTTGGCGTTCTATTGAATTTTATTTAAATTTATCATCATCCATTATTTGAATTTTTTTGTTTATAGAGCTTACATTTCATTTACATACAGACAACTGTCACAAAACCTCATTACTTTCTAGTCATTGCCACTTATCAAGCATTAAAGGACGTGCGCCTTCAATAAAGACATTCGCTCTTTTTTATTATAAAAGCATTGAACTTTTTCGGAAAAGACTCACTATCTTTGTCAAGAGTAAATAAATTTCAATATAATTAATATTTGTATGGCAAAAACTTAAGCTGTTTAGTATTTATAGCCATAATGATTATTTAGGTAATTTACCTTTTCTTAAAAATACAGTCGTATATTTGAATTTGTTTAAAATCACGAAGATATGGAAATACATTAAAAGGATTATTTCCTCAAATATTTCAAAAATATTTGTGAGAATTTTCAACCTCAAAATGCATTGTGGGGGGATATAGGTATTTGTGGCTTATAGGAGTTTAATATCGCATATTTATTTACTAAATACAGAATTCAAACCATGAATAAAAAAGTGGACATAGTTATTGAGTTGAGTTAACTCAAAATGTATTCCGTCGAAGCCCATAACATTTTGTGTGGTTCTTTTAACTTTTTTTGCAACTTTGCTGAGGCCTATGCAACCTTAGTTACCAAATTCATTCCTATAAGTTAAAATCCGGTCGAAAATAATTTTTACTTGCTGCATACAGTAGCTGTTTTAGCTTACAAATCTTGTACTTTTAAAATCATTTAAACTAAACGAACCAGTCCGGCGTATATGCCATTATTTTAATTCTTATACTTATACTCGTACTATCTTCTCTTAATAAAAAAATTCCGAATTAAAAATTTTCTACACGAAATTTGGCGCAGATCGTTATCCATGGCTGCTCTATAACCTCCGAACAAATAGTTTCGATCGGACGCATATAGCTGTCAATTAAACTGATCGATCAAAATCAAGATCTTTTTATACCGTTTATGCTATAAAGAATGCACCTGTGAAGCGTATTATAACTTCGATGCAGCTTGTTTCTCACTCACTTATTTTAAGCTCGTCGGTTACGTGCTTAACATTTCGCGTAATTTCTTTGACCATTTGCCCATTTTATTTCGCGTATCAATGTAAATATTAATATAATTATTTTTAAGAAACGCTGGGTAATTAGTTAATCTGAAAAACAAAAACAAAACCTTGGTAATAAAATAACCTATAAGTTTGACTTGGATTATTTCACCAAAATTCAGCAACTCATTGCCCTTGAAAGCTTCCTCACCCACGACAGTCGGGAAAAAATGTAAATCACGGAAAACTCTTCGGCAATTAGTTATATAATATTTACCGCTCGTGCTAGTTGGATAACACTGTGTAAGTTAATAAAATTAACAAACAGTTAATTTGGGCACCGTTGCTGCACTAGGAAATACTTGGCATAAACGTAACACGCTGGTGAGAACACGCCACTAATAATACATAAATCATATCTAAACAAACAAACTGTAACTCTGTGTGAGTAAATGCCAAGAGCAAAATTAAAATGCTCAAATTAAACTGATTAAATATGCTACATGGAGCACTTTGAAATCGCGAGCTTAAGAATTTATGTGTGTATATGTTATATTGTTCGTATTTATATATAATTTGTTCATTTTACTATTAAATTAAATTCTATTAACGGAAATTTAATATTTAAAGTAAAGCAAAAACAACGCTACAATGGTTATTTGCTCAGAGTTCTGTGAGCTTTGTGGCAAGTTACTTTGATGACCGCTTTTGGCCACTTGGCGTGGCGGTAATTTGAACACAGCTTGAAATAATGAGTTTGCGTTCTTTGCTGGATAAAGTGGGCAAAATTTTTTGGTTTTGTGTTTAGTTGTGTTTAATGTGAACTAGCTGAGTGATTTGACAGCTCTTTGTTTCCGCAAATCATTGCTGGCGTTGCTAATGATGGTCAAAGTTATTTTTTATAAAAGTAAAATATGCATGTTTGTAGGTATGCGTGTATGTATTGTATATATGCGTGTGTATAATGTACATATAGCATGAAATTTCCAAAATAACCAAATTGGTCTGCTCGTCGATCATATCACGCGCTGTAGCTATTTTTTTTCAATAACTGAACAAATACTCATACTTTTGAGTTAGCGTAATTAAAATTTTATTAATTGCGGCGTAAATGATTCGCCGAATGCGGTCATAAAAAAGAATACTCTCATTAATTGAACAAAAACATTATTATGTGTGTTCATTACCGCATTTAGAATCTTATGGCGTACTTTCGAAAAATACTAGTGTTTTATTACTTTTGGTCAGCAGGTGTTGGCAAAAAAGCAAAATGAAGTGATCATTGTCCATTTGCTATTAGTGCATAAATCAATACACCACAGTGTTAATGTCTACATTAAACTAATAAAATTAAGCGAAGTCAAATTTACGATAATTTTTAATATGATATGTGCGAGTGATAGCTCGTTTCCTTTCAAATTTTGATTTAAGATTTAGACAAATAATTATTGAGCTTTATTAAAACATGTAAGAGTGGTCCAAGTTCGGGTGTAACCGAACATTTCATACTCTTGCAACTTGCAAAAATCAAAGTCGAGGAAAATTATTTGCGAATATTACATACAACAAACCAAAAGTTCGCAATATGAACTGATGTCCACATGTTCGGTATCAGGGGACTTGAACAGTTGTAGTCCGATGTTGACAATTTTTGGTCAATAGGTGACACACCTTAAACACATTATTCATACCGATATATTCATTGGTTCTTTATTCGTATACTGTAGTTAAAAAAAAACGTTATATGAAGAGTGGGCGGGACTATTTTCCGATTTAATTCATTTTTAGACTGTTGGAAGAGATAACAAAAAAATTTGTTCTGATCATATTTGGATGATTTGGCTTAAGTGGTTTTTGGAGATACATACTTGTACATTGAACCTAATAGATGGCGGGGCCACGCCCATTTTTTAAAATAATTCAAAACCAAAGATGCCCCAACCCCCTTGGGTGCCAAGAAACACGTGTGCTAAGTTTCATCCAGATACCTAAATTTTAACTCAAGTTATGGTTGCACGGACGGTCGGATGGATAGAGAGACTGATTTCAACTCGTCTCATCATCCTGACCATTTATTTATACATAATCCTATATCTAAGTCAATTATTTTAAGGTGATACAAACAACCGTTAGGGGAATAAAACTAAAATAAATAAAATATAAACTCACCAAATCGCAGCATTTGGTATTTACATCCCTGGGTGGAACTTGGAGCATTACCATATGAAGATTGTTGCCAAATGAAATAAGAGCTCGCAGAATTTTTTTAAGTCACTCAAGCAGTCATTTCAAAATGTTTAAAAGCAGCCGGATACATTCAAAAGCAATGAAATCAATGACTACCGATGAATTGGAGCTAAAGGACGTTGAAAGACGATTTTCAGAAATGACGCTTGAACGGAACAACAAGAAGTTGTTTTTACATAGGGTTGTGACTGGTGATAAAAAATGGATCCATTACGACAACCCGAAACATAAAAAATTATATTATAATTGAAATCTGATCAACCAGCCAAATCAACTACAAAGCCAAATATCCATGACGCCATGATAAATTGTATTTGGAGAGATCAAAAGACACAGGAATACAGCACGCTATGAGCTTCCATCTACTTACTTTTTTCGATGTTACCGACAATTGTAATTACACAGGGTTGTATTGTAATAACACAAAAAAAGTTGAAAAACAATAACAACTCATCCTAATTTTCTAATACAAAATTTCAGTTGAAGTGGAACTGAGTAAAAAAAAATTACACTAAAAGGAAGGTGACACACACCTCAACCCAACCTCACAACAATATAAAAAGGTGTAAAATTGTAATTTGTTTAAACAGTATCATTTAATTTTGTTTTGAAAATTTGTGACACAAATAATGAATGTGGCAGTTTTTCATTGGCCCATTATTTACATGTTCGTTATTTGTACTCAATTGTACCGAACGCACATAATATTTCGCATAACCTAAAATGTAATATAACTAAGCAGATGTCGTGAAAATATTATGACAACTGTGTAATTGTATTATAAGACAATTCTTATACTTATCCCTATCGTCGGATGTATAAATGAAACATGTAAAATTCTTCTATCGATAATAGACACTAACGGATTAACTCGTACCTTCTGTTGCTGCACTAGTACTAGCTCCTGTTACCGTACTTGTTGTCGTTGTTCTGCCTCCGCTTTCGGCAACATTCGCCGGTTCGATACGTATACGTCGTATTACACGTCTGCGCACACCGCGCTCATTACTGTTATTTTCTTTAACTGGTCCACAGCACATAATTGCACAGACCTAAAAAATAGGAACGAGCCATGATAACAAAAATGAAATAGAACCCGAGTGTCTCTGAATGCAAGCTGCACCGTAAGTGCTCACATAATGTCTGGTCAACACTTACTCTTATTATGAGATAGATGACGCCGAAAACTATAATTACTAAAAATATAGCACCGATATCATTCATTTTAAATATGCCGAATAGGAGCTATGCAAAATTATCGTTTTATTATATCACGGTTATCGCGGATTGAGTAATTATAATTAGAGAATTATAACTACAAGTAGAATAGGAAAGGGTGGAAAATAATGCTATTTTATAAACAAAGAACTAATACTGTTAATATAATACTTCGTTTTCGGTTGTTTCAATGTGTGTTTTATTATAGAATCAACTTTTTTTCTAGCTTTCTTTTGGAAGACACCAACTAACGGAACACACTTCACAGAGCCTGGTTATCGCGACACAACTAAAACAACATATATCGCTGACATTTGACTTCACTTATAGCCTTTTATAATCAAATTGATAAAGTGCAAGCCCAATAAACCACAAGAGACAACGAAAAATTCGACCAAATCCTGCCAAAAACTATGCGAGTAACCTTTAAACAGGGTATACCAGCATTCCTCTCTTCAAGGTACAATTTTGAATGAATTAGTCTCCTAACATATCCAAGCCCAATAAACCACAAGTGATCACGAATAATTCGTGTGCATGTATACATTGATGGTTCTTTGATGACCAAACCCTGCCAAAAACTATGCGAGTAACCTTTAAACAGAGTATAGCAGCATTCCTCTCTTCAAGGTACAATTTAGAATGAATTAGTCTCCTAACATATATATTTAAGGTACAATTAGTTATTAATTTCTCCCACCCGAATATCTACAGGGTATAATTGGAGATTGATTAGTTGTAAAATATTAGAATTGAAATACAATGATATTAAATAAATGTCTAGTCTCATTCTACATCCGTTGGGGAAGAAAAGATGACTAGTCTGTAAAAGTCTGAAGAAAACAATTGGCCTTTGGGGTTTTAAACTACTCAGAGGACATTAGATATGCATATTTATATTAATTAAATTTTAATTGAATACTATCGTATAATAAAGGCCTACAAATAAGTCATACTTTTATCTAAGAACTTGACCATCTAGTGCTTTTGGGAAATTGTTTATTTTAAAACCTTTAAATTTATTTGCACCCACTTCCTTTTGAGATATCCGATTTCTCTTAAAAAAGTGACACAAAAATGTATAATATCTCAGAGGAGCGTTAATTAATATATCGCAAAAAATTACGAAATTTCAAATTATTTATAAGAATTCGGAAAATGTTTGCTTTTCCAACTAAGTGTCTTAATTTACGTGTAGATTACATTGTATGGTTGTTACTGTCTTTTGGCTGTAAACTCTCTTTGTTTTACCCTTAACCTTTGAGAGCCTAATAAGCTCGAGTTAATTTTATTTGATTTTGTAAGTAGTTTTAAGCCTCGTTTCAAATCAAAATTGAACCTGATATTTATATCTTTTACGAGTATCTGGTTCATAGCAAGTTTTGCTTATTGGGTTATAAAAAGAAATTTCATAGACATATTTATTTATATTCATGAACCCCGGAGCCTTATCTATCAATAATGATTTGCGATAATTTGCCAAATCACAACTACAACAAAAATTTCGCCGTAGATATTTACCAGCTTATTTCACAATTTAGATATACTTCTTACCATCATATGTATGACTGCATGTATGCACGAATATAATGGTCGATGCGTATAACAGTAGCATAGAAAATACAATAAATTATGTCAGCTGATAAACTGATAAAACCAATAACAAATGAAATAGCTTACATGTTTAGTACATATGTACTTACAACGAAACTACTACTACTTGTTTTTGCGAAAAAAAATTTAACATATAATTTTATTATAACAAAATCAAAAGGATATCATAAATAATCGGCCCTATTCCCGTAGTCGTTTTCGTTTTTATATGACATAAAAACGGCTATGTGGGATTCCTGTTAGTGTTATCGACACTTATCGAAAATAAGACGAGCCCGATTCTGTGAAGTGTATATGAAAATATGAATATGAAAAATCACTGAACAAAATCCAGCGTATGCCAAAGATTTACGAAAGGGGATAAAACTATTGAATTTTGATATTTTTTGGAGCGATATTTCGAAAAAACGTAATACACCTCCTTGTGGCGACGTTTAACATTTCTGGATGTTTATACTAAGGCATGGAAGGACCCAAAATTCTAAATAAAGAAGAAAAAAATGGTACACAATAAATCCGAAGCTACACCCACAGAAAGAATAGTTATTATTATTATCTTATTTATTACAAGTATGTACTAAATTCACAATATGGTTCAAATATTTTTTTCAAAACAACAAATAACAATAAAAATACAATGGGTCTATTGGGCGTTATCATACTTTCTTTATTTTAATTTAAAATTTCGATAATGTTTCTTTGAGGATACGATATACTTCACATATACGAATACTTGGAAACGACAACGGGAATAGGGCCGAATGTCTCTGCCTAAAGCAAATGGCTGTTCGTTTGTGTGCTTGCACTCGTATGACGATGACCATGAAGACGACCAGCTAATTTGAATCACTAATCCCTTCAGCAGTCATATGACGTGTTGCTTACTCATATTTGTCAGTTAGCTGAGAGATTATCTATACTCTAAACACTAGAACTCAAGTATCGTCTAATACTCTTTCAAGGGAGAGCAAAAGTAAGTGAAACTTGTCAAAACATTTAAATGAGCCTTTTTATACTATTGTAACATGTTGTTACAGAGTATAATAGTTTGGTTTACACAACGGTTCCTTGTATAACCTAAAACTAGTCGAGATAGATATGGAGATATATACATATAAATGTTCAGGATGACGAGAAAAGTTGAATTCCGAGTGACTGTCTGTCCGTCCATCTGTCCGTGCGAGCGATAACTTGAGTACAAATTGAGATATTGGAACGAAACTTGGTACACATGTAGTATTGAAAATGGGAGGAATCGGACCTTTGCCACGCCTACGAAATGCAATTAAACGAAAGCTTATAATAATGATAAGTGACATACAACATTAAATTAAGATACAAAACGGCAATTTAGTACAAGAGATCTCAGTAGCCAGGATACCTGTGGGTTAAAAAGGAGTGACCCCGCCTCCTAAATGATTTAATGTACATATCTTCCAAACCGCTAAAGTTATATCAACCAAACTTGCTGAGAAGAGCACCTTTTCAAACGCTTTGAAAATAGGTAAAAACAGCTATTGGATACTGTGAAAATAGGAGATATTGAATGACAACTACGCCTACTTCACATAAGAAAAAATTTTATTTGATCTGATTCTGTCACTTTACAGTATACAAATCAAACATCAATAAAGTTATTAGAATAAAACTTTACAAAAATGCCATCAAGGTATTTTATCTTACGTCCGAAAATTGTCGAAGTCGAACTATAACTTGTACCAAAAATGGGTAAAATCGGGTCAACGCTTCCCTTAGCCCCCATATACCTAACATAAATATTTTCGAACTTTCGGTTCAATTAATACCGCATCTATCGGTCAATATGTAAAAAATCTTAATGAAATTCAGAAAGAATATCTTTCTAATAAGAGTGTATCCTCATGCTCTAAATGGATGAAATCACGGCGATATTTTCCCTAGTTTAATATAATATAACGTTTTGCCAACACTTGGCTTTGATCCTTGCAAGTTGCAAGAGTATGAAACGTTCGGTTACACCCGAACTTAGCCCTTTCTTACTTGTTACAGACTACTATTTATTGCTTCATTTTAATTTACAGCCTATAAAATGCAACCCAAAAAATTTGTACTTCAGGCTGCTTCTAAAAAGGGCATTACGCCGGATAGTATCCCTGAAGTATATGTTCAAACGGTTCGGTGTAATAGTGCATACAGAAAAGAAGAATAGTGAGCTACTACTTGTAATGCAAATTTAACCGGAAGAAGCAAATATATATTTATTGTATTCGCTTAACTACAAGTAATTATTGATAATAAATTCATGTTTTATAATGTATTGTTGATATTTATCGAAAATTATCAGGTTTAGCTGTTCGCTGTGAGAGAGCAAAGTATTGATGGAAATCTGACGAAGAAATTTTGCAACGAAGGAAAACATCTGGTAAAGCAACAGCTGTTTGCAATTCAAGAATCAAAAGTTTTATTTAAAAAAAATTAAAATAAACATCGCATTATTATAAAATAAATATATAGGGTTAAAAATATATGCAAATGCTCATTATATCAAGATATTAAAGTACCCACAAGATAAAGACAATTTGGGTATTGCTTAATTGCGATAATGTGTTGGATAAAATGACAGCTAAACGGCAATAACCGATATCCTACGAAGACGGTCTGTTAGAGAAAGAATAGAATTGGCTGTATCGTAGGCTGAAGTCCTTATCACAACAAGATTTTACTCATCATCAACAAGGAAAAAATATCAAGTTACCAAGCAGTGATAAAAGGCCTTTACAGTTTTTATAGTTACTAAGAGTCATACCTACCCAATCCAGTAAAGTAACAAAGTGGGGTAGCTGATTTACGTCTGATTCACATACAACTTTTTCTTCGCTTTACGTCAGACATTTGCTTTGATAGATAACGAAGCGAATCAAAGCAATGCTATGCAAAATGTTGGAGTTGTACATTTCTTTATCTCTGTTACCAAGTATATGTAAGGATAAGTAAGAGTATTTGGTGTGCGACCACCTCTGGCAGGACAGAAGATGGAGCTTACGTCAATATTAAGCTACTAGGAAAAGAAAGAATTCATAAGATCCAATCTTGCGGGCCATATGCTCGAAGTTCTTTTCAAACACAAATTTATACAATTTGGGGACTAATAAATTCAATATTTCTATTCCTTTTTCTGTACTGTATTGAAAATAAAGGTTCGACTCTTATTAAAAATCACCCTTTATATAATGATCAAATAAGCACATTGTCTAATTTTTGAAAACATGAAAGCTTTCCACTTTAAATAATATCGAAACCAAGGTTTATCTGCCTAAATGGCAGTGAAGTTAGAAACCGCACTTAATACAAAGTATTATAAACGCGTTAACGTTTAAAAACATTTTGATTTTGAAGAAGAAATTAAGAAAGGAGTGTGCGAACTTTGTAAAATTATATTTTATAATCTTGTTGTTGTTTTATTGTTAAGCACTGTACCTCTACTTAAACTTGACATTTTTTCCTTGGCCAGATTTTTAACTCACGACCCACTGAAGGATGGTTATGCCCTCAAGCACTCGTACATTTGATTCAATCCTTACTTATCACCCATGTGTACTCACATAAATATTATTACCAATTGAACGAGTTTTTATAGGTGTGATGGAGACAATCGATAAAAAGCATTGACAAATTTGCGCAACTCTTTGAACATATTTTCGTACATTATTAAAATTTATCATAACAAAAGACGTCACATGCACTCCCTTTCAGTCGCACCCACAATTATTGTGATTGTAAATGACTTTTATCACTGACCTGCATGCCGTACATAGCGTGGAACGCGGTGTATGTGGGTACGCCGACGCATCTGATAGTATAAATGCCTTTCCATTGTACAAAAGAGTTTTATCATCCACTAAGAGAAGAGTGAACACCCTTAATAATCATTTATTTTTTTTAACTTATGCAATATTATTTTAGTGTGGCTGCTATCACTGCTATTACAAAACACTGCGCATACGTACTTACTTTTAGTAAAAGTGCGATAGCGAAAAGCCCCAACATGCAATAAATATAGGTGAGTTCATCCATGTTGTAAAGGCTTAGGTTTCGAGTGTGCCGGAACAGTTTGAGGACTATTTAAATTACAATTTTTACACGTTATAAATTTTGTAATGATTTTGTTTTGATAACTAATTTGCGCCATAATTGAAATACCTTTGACGTTTGAATAAATCATTTTTTGTTTTTGGAAATTCCAAACATGAAAAACGACAAAAAATATTAAAACACAGAGGAAGGTGGAAAAATGTTATGAAAGATTCATATGACCAAAAATAGAGTTTTGTTTTTTATTTCGATTTTTTTTTAAATTAATTATAAATGTTAATAATTTAAATTTAAAGTTATTTAAGGGGTAGTCAGAATTTTCAAAAATTCGAGTTTTGCAATTTCTTAACGTCTTATTCTTGAGGTAAATCCGGTAAATACTTTTTGAGATATTCGATAATTAGCAAAGGGTTCTCGGGCGCTCTGGAACGTTCGTGTAAAACTTCAAATGCGTTTTTCTCAAAACTATGTTTTTTGAAATGGTGACCACTGTATCTCGAAACTCGATTTCAATGAAATTTAATTTAATTAAAAAAAAGATCAAGCACTTGATCATCTATCTACAAATACTTTTTTTTGTCCGATTGGTTTTAGATGAATCTTCAAGGATTAGCGATGGTCACTGCAAGGAGCTTCGGTTGGAACTGATGCAACACAAACAGCCATTAATTTTACAATTTCTAATTTTTTGTTTCAAACTTCTGTAAAGTCAAGTCGAAACCTTATTTAATGATGCTATATTTTTACTTTTGTAAAATAAATTAATTCAAGGGCAAACAATTATTTAAAATTGTAATTTTGCATGTCTCTGACTACACCTAATCCTTTAGTCTTTGGAGAACACATTTAGAGAGGATGTTAATCACATTTGACGCTAAAGAGCAGTAAGATTTATTTACTATCCGTAGGCAAAGCTCACTGACAATAATTTGTCCTAAAATGCAAGTATTCAGTTGGAAATAATTACGACTTTTGATAACAGTAATAAAGTGGTGTTATAATATGCAATTCCTTGTGTTTAAGTAATATTGCAATCTCTTCGGTAATAAAAAAACGTTCTGTCATTATATTCTGAACAGGGTATATGTAAATTGCCACGAAGATTGTAACACCCGGAAGGATACGTCGGAGACAAGCTGAGTCGATTTAGCCATGTCCATCCATCTGTCTGTATTAACGCGAGCTATCGATATCGTTATCAAATTTTGCACACGTTCTTTTCTTCTCAAGAAGCTGATCATTTATCAAAACTGCCGATATCGGATCACTATAGCATATAGTTGCCGTACAAACCGAACGATCAGAATCAAGTGCTTGTATGGAATCTTTTGTATTATTGATTCGGAGCAACCGAAATTAACGTTTTTCTTGTTTCAGTTACAATTGATTTGGAAACAAAATATTTTAACAGATCAAAAAAAAAGTCCTTGAAACTTAATGAATGCGGTTTAGAGAAACACTTAACATTCTAATGTATGAATATTCTAGAATTTGTTAAATTAAAATTTCTAATACTTATCGCCAAGTTTACTATATTTGGTATATTAAATGGCAAAAATAATTATAAATGCTTTTATGCACGGTGTCGGCCTTGTCGAATAGTGAACTGTAGAAACAGGAGCTCCCAATGGAAGTCAACTTTACGATAATAAAGCCGATCTTAACATTAAACTCCGACATAGCACTAAAAGTACGTTATAAGTAAAAGATAAACATTTCGCAAAAAACATAATTTTTTTTAGAGATATTTTTTAAATAGAGTTTTGGTACTAAAGTCTGTACATATTATAATTAAAAACACAAATTATCTAAATTTTCCTTAACATATCATATACTATATCTGTGAACGCGTATCAACCAGGAAAGCTACTATTGATTAAGAAATACTTTTATAAATTATGAGCGGTTTTCATTATGTCAAATTCGAAGCGAAATATGTCAGCTAAATTGACAATAGTACAATTTAGATTTATATGTGTGTAATCAAGAAAATTGAATGACGATGACATTTCACAACAGTTGTCATTCATTTTTATTAAAAATTCCAATGACAAAGTTTCCATCTGGATGTCAGTTTTGCACGAATAGCATTGTCATTGAATTTAATGCAATATTTTAATATTAAACACTAATTTCCGGCAGGTTCTATACACGAATCACTGAGGATCCCAAACATGCTAAGCACTGCGTCGAATGTTTAAACTTTCTATGCAACAAGTCAAAATCCTATGCATAGATCAAAAAAAAGCTAATATGGTATGCATAAAAGATAACAGCAATAGTTTCACCGATAATTTTTCATAACAAAAAGAAATGGCTGTCAGAATCAAACAATGAAAAAGACAGCATTTAACATAATATACTCATTTTGAATGAAGAAAATTCTGTTCTATATCCTGGAAATTGTGTGATGGAATCCATAAATTTAGGTTTTTGTACTAACCTGCAATTTCTACAGGTCGTCGTGGTCTTCCAGTTTCAGGTGTTTGGTAATAAGTACCCACATGGCTCTCCGCTTGATGTTTGAAGCCTTTATAGAGTATCTTAGTAAACAATGAAAGTGAAACTCATTACACATATGCACACCTTTAACGGAGCAATTCATTGCCGAAACCAGCTGTTTACTTACGATAAACAATAAAATCATTAAAAATGACAAATAGATGACGTCTGAAAAATACATTTTGCGTTGTTCAAATTGGCTGTTTAAAGTCTACCTTCTTGATGATTTAGTAAAGTATAATTATTTTCTTCTAACACCTTAACCGCTTGTTTAATTGCGCGTCTTTCAGTAATTTAGCATTCAAAGCATTTACTAATTAAGCGCTCGTATAACAATAATCAAGACAACATGTGTGCCTTATCAATATGCTAAGTAAAAGCTTCGAAGCTTTTGGAGCGCACCTCCGGCAAGATAACGAAGATTGAGCATGCGCTGAGGGTTTTGAGAAGATATATTTTGCTCTAAATGTATATATATGTACATATGTTCATTTATGAGCATGATAAATTCGTATAAAGATAGGTTGTGTTTGGATTGCTCTTAGTAAAGCCGTACCTGTCAACAGATGTCGTATAAAGTGAGTAATACAATAGATAAGTCACAAGGAGTATAGGAGCGGAGATGGGAGTAAAGTATGTACGTAAATGGAATTTTGGATGAAAAGCTGTATGAATTGTTTTGTTAAACAGCTGCAAATGCTGACAAATAGGCGGTTAAACATTGTAAACAAATTATTTAAATGTTATCAAAAAGCAAGAAAAAAACGTTTACTTCGGCTGCACCAAAGCTATAATACCCCTCACATGTGCATTTTTTATAGCAATTATATGTATTTATATAACTAAATCTAAAAAATAAGCAGCAAACGGTTTGCATTCAAGGGAAAATATTTTGCTAATTCATTCTAGCCACGTACTTTG